CTTGGCACTAGAACTGTAATTTATTTATTTAGGTAGCAAACAGCTTATACTTTACCTTCATTACATCCATTTTCTTAAAGATCAGGTGATTTAAGAATTCAAGTTCACAGAATTTAAGCTCTTCTGCTGCATTCTCAGACCACTTTGTGCCATTCTGTTCTAGGTTCTGACACTGAAGCAGCATCTCATCATTTTTCTTCTGTACTACACACAAGTCCCTCTCATAGCCATTTACCAAACTATATTGTTCCTCCTTGACAGCGGCAGTCCTGTATATGACCTAATAAATCAGAAATAAGAAACATGCATTAATTGGTGAAATAGTTGCACCCCAAAATAGGAAAACAGCTCACTTCAAGCATGGATTGCAGAATGTCAGCACATACTGATACAGCAGGTTCACAAATAGGTTTGACTAGCTCAGATTTTGCTCTGACAGCAGATTACTTATCCTACCTTAAATTTGTTGACCAGAGTCTGCAGCTGAGAGTTTAGTTTGATGTATTCCGTTTGTAGAGTTCCAAATTCTCTAGAATGTGTCGAAGACAACGACTCCTTTATAGAACTCATGGATTGTTTCTGTGCTTCAACTTCAGCTTGTAGTTCCACTGAAAGGGTGCTTAGTATACGGTAGTGATTAGCATACACAGTGGAAATGTTCACCATAAGGTCCTGCAAAAAAGACAAACTTTTGCTTTCACCAGATGCCTTACTGCATGAAAATGCTTTACAGATGGCAAATATAAAATAAAGATGTTTCTACACAACAGGGTATATTACCTTCAACTCTTCATTTTTCTGCTGTAGAATTTCAGTACGCTCTTCAATTTCATCTTGTTCTTGTTCAGGCTCGTTCTGTATTAATCGAAGAACTCTGATTTCTTTCTCAAGGTCATTGACCTTTTCACAAAGCTCATTATTTTTCATCCTTTCATCCTTTAGTTTCTAGAAGGAAGTCCCAAAAGTGCATTAGCACAAACCAAACCTGTAAGTTGCCATGGTAAACTAGTGCGATAATAAAGCCTGCTCCTATGGAGGGATTGTGTAGATCGGTAAATGCATTTAGTTTTTTGGTACATTTAGACTGTTTGAAACCAGTTTGGGACACTTCGTAGTTTTTCACAGATGCTATTGACCACTTCCTGACCTGCATCTCCCCACCTCCCAAGCTGATTTTGCATTCACACTACTTGTATAGGGCTTCTGTGAAATGTCTGCCTATGCCAGCCCTAAGGCCCCGTTCACATTGAACGATTTATCGCGCGATTTTTGCAGCGATATCGCTCATATTTCCACGCGATATCGCTCTATGTAGCTTCTCCAATACATTTCAATGGAGCTGTTCACATCTCGTCGCTCAATATCGCTTGTAGCTCGTCGCTCCTACATGACCCTTTTTTCAGAGCGATTTTGAGCGATATTGCTCCAGATTGCATACAGCCCAATAGGAAAAAGGGGGAGGGGGAGGGGGGGGTTAAATGGGGAAAAATACCTGGTGCAGTAGTTGTAGTTGCTGTTCCAGAGAAGATAACTCCTGTAACATTGCATTTACTTCATTTACTTTTTCAGTAAGATTGTCTTTAGTTTCATCTCTCTGCTTCTTGACAGACTCAAGTTCTGTCTGACAGGTTGTTAGCGACTCCTTTAAATGTTCGTTCTATAAGTGATTTCATTTGAAAGCGAACACAGAGTTCAGTCATCACATAGTTCAGATGTATATGAAGTCCTATAAATTCACTTTATACCAAAAAAATGACTAAAACGCTACTTAGACTATATAATGTTGTTATCTACAAATTAACAAACTACACAGATAGAAAGCAAAACAAAATACATCTGAAATTAAAAAAGGCCAAAAAAAGCACTAAAAAAGGACATAAATGTTTGTAAGGTTGCACACAGTACAGTGCATTTAAATATGAACAAGTTGCACACTTACAGCTTTCTCCTGATCTTGAAGATTTGTGCAAATATTTTCCTTTTCACTTCGGGCCCTCTGTAGCAGTTGCTGGAATTGCTCCTGTTCCTGGTGGAGAGATGCCACTTCCAGCTCATGCTGCTGAACCTTTCTCTGCAGATCAGCCTTATCCATCTCTAACTGCTGAGCTGTTGTATCTGTAAGGGTAACCTTCTCTCTTAATTGCTCAAACTCCAATAGCAGTTCCTCTAATCTGCCAGATTTTTGGGTCTCTTGCTCACGTAACTCAGCATGCTGATGTTGCAGTTGTTTGAAGTCCTCCCTTAGCTTAGTGGCCTAAATAAATTTAAAAAAAAGTGATCACACTATGGCACAAATAGTCTGACAAGAGCAGTCAGAAGGAACACATTGTTTGCATTTGCAGAGCATTAGTTTGCAATAACACACAAGATTCATTAGGCACAGAGGCGTGCAAGTGGATAGACGACTGTGGACTGCAAAGAGAAGTGAGCGTTGTGTCGCAAATGTAGTAAAACTTATTACAGGTGGTACCTAAAACTAGAAACGTTTTGTAATGTAAAAACCACTAGACATATTTTGGGAAATCCCATTTTACACAGGTCAGATGCCAGTTAAAAAAAAACAAAAAAAAGTAAATTTCTAAATATATATATATGTGTTAAAATAGAAAACATTTAAATACATAAATAGTGTAATGGCAGCTCAGACATCTTTTAGTGGGTCTAGGTCTAGTTTCAGCTCTTACACCAAGTACTGCATAAGAACACAAAAACACAAGAACGATCACTTCACTATTGAGCAGTTTGGGTCTCACTTGAAAGCACATGAAAAATCTATATACTCACCTGAAAGGACCGCTGACTAGTAAAATTGCTCAGTAGCATGAGGTTAAACAAGTCCATGTGTTTAGCCCTTAAAAGTGGACCTCAGGGGAACCAACACAGGTATGTAAACAGTTTAATCTTACAAGAGATTAGTAATTCTGTTCATACATTGTATGGATTCACAGACCTTTGCCAAACCGTATATCAAGCTCTGTGACATGTTTATATCCTTTCAACTTTACAACTTGCCATTACCTGCTTGTTCATTTGACAGGAAGTCAGCAGCATAGTAAACTGTCGAATAAGTAGGCAGGTGGGGCATAAAGCGGTAAGGCTGAAACAGGAAAAAGGGTGGCAGCTTTGCAGTGTGGTTGGACAGCACTGTCAATCCTTTGGTAGGTAAACAAATATACAGATATATTACCATTTCAGCTTCCCTTATAAAAAGGACACAATGAACATGCGTACAAGATTCCATAAATACAAACATGCTCTTAACATCCAACAAAGCCCTCGACAAGCCGCAAAAACCACGTAAATGTTACCCACAAGTCCAGCCTATAAAAATAAATAAAAAAACAAAAATTGGATTTTGTTCTTAAAATCACTTTCTCCAAGTCCATTGAGGGACACAGCACGGAAGAATTGTCAGATGTAGGGTTATGCTGCTGCCTCCAGGAGAAATGGACACTAGGCAAAACAATTTAAAGCCTGCCACTTTAAAAGCATAATCCCTCCCACCTGCCAGTTGTAGCCAGCAGAATGAAAGGAAATGAGGGGAGGGAGACTGGTCAGATCTGATCTGGAAAATGGTGTGAACCCAGCCTTAAGGAAGCTGTGGCTGACAGATCCAAACCCCCACGACATCCAAACAATGAATAGAAATTTCTGTGGGATGAACAGGAGCTGGGCAAAGTGAAGGTAAAACAATGCCTTCATTTTTAAAAAAGGCCAAAACCACCTTGGTTAAAAAGGAAACCTACAGTCATAAAACAACCTTGTCCTTATGAAGAACCAAATAGCGTTCTCCACAAAACAAAATAGCCAACTCAGAAACTCTTGTGGTCAAGTGAATAGACACAAAAAGGCAGCCTTTTTGAACAGGCAAAAATTTTCAAAAGGAGGGGTTTGTTTTCTCGAACAGATAAAACCAAGTTCAAATTCCACAGGGGATTAGAAGACCTAACACAGGAGGAACCACACTTGGAACTCCATAAAATTTTTTTTTTTTTTATCAAGGAATTAGAATCAAATTGATGTTGAACAGGCTAACAAGGCAAACATCTGACCCTTTGTGGTACTTAGAGCTAAACTTTGATCAACCATAAGTTGATGGCAAGACAAAATTAGCAATAAAGAACAAACACGTGGGGAAAACCCCAAAGGACTCACACCAGGAAAATTAAAATTTCCACGTACGGTGATAAATAGTACGAGTAGATCTACGCACTTTAGGCACATTCAGAATAACAATCTAAAATTCCTTTGTCTTTCAACAGTTGGGTTTCAAGAGGCAGGCCATTCAAGTTAGTGACCGAGAAGCAGGGTGGAAGATTGGGCCCTGAGATAACAGATCTGGCCAATCTGGAAGAAGCCAAAGACAGTCTGTCAAAAGAAAACTAAAATCATACTACACCCTGCAAGGCCAATCTGGAGGAGAAAGACTGGAATTCCTTCATTTTGTATCCTGTAAAGCAGATGAGGTAATAGACAAAGTTGTTGAAACACCTCTGAATGGGGAACATTCGCCCAGATCCAGACGAAAGTCTGTTGTCCCCCAGGTGATCAATGTAGGTACCACTGCCTCGGCACTGTCTGACCAGATCTGAGTCAGAAGAAGAGTACAATGAAACAATGCAACAATGCCAGGCGAATCACCCTCAACTATAGGACATAGATCAGAAGCTTGGATTCCCCTGGAGACCAAAAACCTTGCAAAGACAGATGATTCAAGACAGTGCCATATCCCACAAAAATGGCATCCATGACAATCTTCCAAGTTATGGGAAGAAATTCACCGTTGTCAACATTGAGGCCGGAGCACTCAATCCAATCATCCTGTCCAGCAACAGAAGAGGCTTATTTCACGCTGTAAGAACATTCCGCCGTAAAGGTTTGGAATGGAACTAAGCAAATGATACCGCTTCAAAAGTGGACACCATCAAACTCAGAACTCTCATTTAGGATCAGTGATGGGACCGAAGTGATTGAACTTCATTCTGCAACTTTTCCCGAGGCAGGAACATCTTTGCTTGAAAGGGATTCAACAGAATATTCCAAGTGATCCAACGTAACAAGGGAGGACTAAATGTTAAAATCCATCCGAAGACCCCATTAGTACCATCGAGACCTTGAGATCCAGAATCAGAAGAGACTGCTTACAAAAGTTAAAAAAAAGTCATCTAAAGTATCCGATAATCGGAATGCCCTTTGCAACAAAAGATCCTCAGTGCCACAGCAAGGACTTTTGGAAAAACTTTGAGCCAAAACTAGACCGAAGGGAAGAGCCACAAATTGATAATGAAGGTTGCCTACAGCAAAGCCAAGAAAACACTGATGAGCTGGAAAAACAGGGTCGCATAAATCCGCATCTTTTATGTCGATGAAAAACAAAAAATTCCCCATCGAAGAGAAGCAACAACTGACCAAATGGATTCAATCCTAAATTTTCGAATACGGACAAACTTATTGAGAGCAGTCAATCCAGAGTTGAAGGCTTCTGTAGGGTTTGGGAACTGTAAACAGTTTTGAGTAAAAACTAGGGATTCGCCGATACTGGGCATTTTCAGTAGTACTTGTACCTGTGAAAATGCACCAATACTGGTGATTTAAATTTTTGAAACAGAAGCAGCTGCCTGAAGTCCCGCACTAGCTGGAAACCTTGGCAGCCTTCCTGTGAACCACATGGCACCTGTTTACAGCACTGGCCGCACCTCTCCTCTTTCCTGGGGAAATCCACACCTCACCTCTTTCCTCCACTTAGATACAGAAATATCTGTAAACACAGAAAAATCCAAGCATCACAACATCATCAATATTACTCACAGCCTCAACCAGTGTGAAAAGAAAGGTAGAGGAGACGCTGTTCCACCTGCCGCAGAAAATCACGCAAAATTGCAGTCTACGGTTGCATTTAAAACTGGTTTAAAATGAGGGCATAGAGGAAGTTTGCAAGTGGAAGTCGCGGCCTCTTAAAGAAGCAACAGGAAAAGTATTGTATTTTTCCGTGTATAAGACTGTACTTTTTCATAAAAATATTTACCGAAAAATGGAGGGGCGTCTTATACACGGGGGGCCGAGAGGAGAATCGCGGTTGCGAAACTGCCGATACCTCTGCAAACTAGCCTCACGAGTGAAACTTCCGATTGCAGAGACAAGCTAACAGGTTTCCTCCAATCATGAGCCTTATGTACCCGACGTCAGCTGATGCTGCGGAGAGCCTGTAGCCAGTGCCCAGATGCAACAGGGAGCGGTAATGTCGGAGCATTCCGAGACCATAAAATGTCAGAAAACAAAAAAAAATCCCAGTAAAAATACCAATACCAGGAAGCGGCTGTCTTACTCTGCAAAATTTAAACTGGATGTAATCAGTTATGCAAAAGAGCATGGAAAATATTGATTTCTGGTTCACACCTGGGTGTTTTACAGCGCATTCCTACACGCTGTAAAACGCTCAACATGTGAAAACCAATGATTGCCTTTGGGCGTTTTACTGCGCGTAGAAACGCGCTGCAAAACGCTCTACGCCCAAAGAAGTACAGGAGCTTCTTCGGGGCGTTTTGCCGCGCGTTTCCATTGGTATTCCCGAGTGTGGATCGGGGTTAACAAAGCGGTAACCCTGAGCCACACTCGGGAATACAGCGCACAGGTCTTACCTTGTCCGCGATCCCTGCGGTGTCTTCGGCGGCTGCCGACTTCCGTCCCTTGCTAGCGGCCGCGTCGTAGGGGGCAGAGCCGGCGTGAAGTTTAAAAGTGAAACTAAAAAAAAAAAATCATACCGCCAGTGAAACACGCGTTTCACTAAACAAAAAAACCAAGCTGAAAACCGAGCATAAAAAAACGCTCAGGTGTGAACCCAGCCTTAAAGGAGATATTGTACAGTGAAAACACTCAGCCATAATATATTAAAAAAGAGAGAATACCTTAATCATATCTGGTATGAATCAACTGGCAACTTTTGGTAGTAGAATTTTCAACAAAGAAAATAAACTAAAATAAAAAGGTGCCCATACACCTTACGACCTTTGTCTTGCGATGGTCGTAAGCTCATTGAAAACTCGTACGATCTGCCCATCTTGGACGGGCAGATCGTGCTTCCGATGACCGCAGTGAGGGGCGGGCTTCCGATCACTGCAAACGGGCAGTGTGCGCGTGCGCACACTGGCCCGTTCGGCAGTTGTCGAACAAGCAGGCCACTAACCCGCCGAGAATTGTACGATTCTCGGCGGGTTTTCAAGCCTGCTTGTTCGACGGAAGACGTGCGACCGTACAGTAGAAACGGTTGCACGCCTTCCATACACTGTACCATTGCGGGATTTCCCGCGATTCTCGTACGAGAATCGTACAGTGTATGGCACCTTAATAAAGCAGGAGAGAAGCAAACATCAATTCTCCTGAGAACACTAATCAAAGCTGGCAGGTGTGAGCGGTTATGTCCTTAAAGTGGCAGGCTTTTAATTATTTGCCTAGTGTCCACATCTTCTGGAGGCAGCAGCATAACCTTGCACCTCAGAATTCTTTCAGAGCAGTGTCCCTCAATGGACGATAGAGGGGGAAAAAAAAAAATACATGCCTGGCTGGGAAATCTAGTAACCAATGCTCTACACTAAAATTTCTTAAAATAAGAGAGTGCTGTTTAGCAAAAGACATACTCTTTAAAAATAAAAAATGTTTGGTATTAAGGCACAAAAGGTAGGATTTATACAGCGTCAACAGTTTGTGCAGCGCTTTACAATAGAGAGAAGACATTACAATCACAATACAAATCAAGACGGTAAGGAGTGCCCTGCCCCTGAGGGCTTACAATCTAAAAGGGAGGGGGAAGTGGTACATGAGGAGGTAGCTGTGGGGGGATGAATTGTTTGAGAATGTGATGGTTGAGGTGGGATAGGCTTCCCTGAAGAAATGAGTCTTTAGGGAATGCCTAAAGGCAGTCAAGGTGGGCGACAGACTGACAGGTTGGGGTAAAGGATTCCAGAGGATGGGAGAGACTCTAGAGAAGTCCTGGAGGCGAGCATGGGAGGAGTTGACAAGGGAGCTGGAAAGCAGGAGGTCTTTGGAGGAGCGGAGGGGACGTTTAGGGTGATACTTTGAGACCAGGTTTGAGATATATCCAGGGGCAGAGTTGTGGATGGCTTTGTAACTGATTGTTAATATTTTGAATTTTATCCTCTGGGCGAGTGGAAGCCAGTGTAGGGATTGGCAGAGAGGGTTTGCAGACACTGAGCGGTTGGTTAGGGGAATGAGTCTGGCAGCTGCATTCATGATAGACTGAAGGGGGGATAGCCTGTGTAGTGGAAGGCCAATGAGGAGGGAGTTGCAATAGTCAAGACGAGATATAACAAGGGAGTGAATGAGTAATTTTGCGGTGTGTTTGGTGAGGAAGGGGCGTATTTTGGAGATGTTACGAAGGTGAAGGCGGCAGGATTTGGATAGTGATTGATGTGGGGAAGAAAGGTGAGGTCCGAGTCAAGGATGACACCTAGGACCTTGGCATGGGGGAAGGGATGGATAGTTGTGTTGACAATCTCAAGGGAAAAGTTGGGGGAAGGTGCAAGGGCGGGAGGAAATATCAAGAGCTCAGTTTTTGAAAGATTGGAGTTTTAAGAAGTGTTGCGACATCCAGACTGATATGTCGGATAGTAGATTAGTGACACGAGAGGACACTGAGGGGGTGAGTTGTGGAGTAGAAAGATAGGATTTGAGTGTCATCAGCATAGAGATGGTATTGGAAGCCATGTGAGGTTATTAACTGACCATGAGAGGAGGTGTAGATAGAGAAGAGAAGGGGTCCAAAGGACAGAGCCTTGGGGGACCCCTACAGAAAGAGGAAGAGGGGAGGAGTTAGAATTGTAGGTGACACTAAAGGAGCGCTTAGATAGGTAGGAGAACCACGAGAGAGTCTTGTAACCCAAGTGACTGGAGTTTTTTGGAGGAGGAGCAGGTGGTCAACAGTGTCAAAAGCAGCAGAAAGATCTAATAGCAAGAGTAGGGAATAGTGGCCTTCGCTTTTAGCAGTGAGTAGGTCATTAGTGAGTTTTAGGAGGGCGGTTTCAGTGGAGTGTTTGTAACCTCCTCTGTGGTGACAGTTTCAAAAGAGGAGAGTAACAAGTGTGATGGTGGGTCTGGTACATTAATAAGGGAAGGTGACTGCACAGTGGTGATCTGATCCCAAATTGTATCTATTTTGTTTTTTAAGTGAATGGCAATGCCCTAATATTCACCTATTTTATTTTTTATTGTAGGTCATTATCCCATACTCAATAAAAGGCAGCAGGGGAACTTGGTGAACTTGTAAAGAAAAAGGAATAAAATGCCAGTTACTGAAAGAAATTGTTAAAATTACCTCCCCTTCCAAATTTTCTTTTAATAGCTGGAGCTGCTCTTTCTCCTGGGACATCGTTCTCACTTCCTCAGTTAGTTCAAGTACTTTCTGGGCAGCTATCCTTTTTTCGCTCTCTGTTAATTCCAAGATAGTGTCCTTACTCTTCAAAGACTCCATAACCAGTTCTAAATCTGATGAAAGGTTTTGCCTAGCTTGGTCAAGCATTTCCTTTTCCTCAACAGCTGCTTTTAAAAGAGTGATGTTTTCTTGCAATTCTCTCTGAAGTGAAGACAACTTTAATACAAAACAAAAATGAAAATATAAAAAGGTATAAAGAACATACAAAAAAAATTATAATATAATATACTCATTGTTCACAAGACAAACCCTAGAATCTGGTTAATGCCTACAGGGCAAGTGGATTTGCCTTATCATGCAGTGGGGATCTAAACAAAAAAACTATTTAAAATAAAAGTGGAAAAGTTCTAAAAAAGGTAATTAATGTCCTTATTTCTCACTTACCTTTTCTTCAAGAAGGGCAATCTCGCTTGTCAAAGTTTCTACCTTCTCTTTTTGCTGTTGAAGCTCTTCTTGAGTTTTTCTAATATCATTCTGCATTTCAAAAGACTACAAAGACAAAGAAAAATCTTACTGTTTAAACTTTCTATACAAGTTCAGTTAAAGGACAAAAGGAAACCAACCTCCACTGGCTTTTCCATCTCATGAAACTCAATCTAAACTAACTCCATCAAACTGGGAAATACAAACTTAAGCAAATGAAGAAATAAAACAGGGTCAGTTTCCATGGAAAATGCATGAGAAAAGATCAGTAGATCTTAAGTTACAAAGAACTCTAGAACTGAATTTTTCTGTTAAATGTTAAGCCTGCAACCTTTACTGATAAAAGTAACCAAAACCCAGTCACTTATCTTTAGAATAAACTACATTCTCACGTTTTCTTGAGCACAAATAAAAAGTGGCTGCATTGCTAAGACAGCAGGGCACCACTTCCTTTTCTCTTTTTAAAGATCACACCCTGATAATTGGTGAAATATTATTTAGGGTACTAGTTTAATTTTATGATCTAATGTAGCCGTCACTAAATGGCAGACCGGACACTGACTGCGATTGCCAACACTTCTAACTAAAATATATAAACAGTGATGCGCCAGGATTGTGCGTCTGTGAAAAAAAACACACCAGCAGCTGCTGATGTGAATGCAGCCTAAATGGCGGACCGCGTTATGCATATGAACTGAGTGACCGTTCTGTCTGTACTGCGATGTGGACCTGGGCTTAACCCCTTCGTGACTGACGACGTACAGTGTACGTCGCCAGCATCGGGGCTGTTTAAACAGACTCCCGGCGACTTTTGCCGCCGGGACTCTGTTTAAACTTGTAGAGCCGACTGTCGGCTTTACAACAGAAAATTTTATTCACTGGACATCCTTGAATTATACTTCACTCCCCTTGATCTAATGCAATCCTAAAATACACCAATATCTTAACATTTTAGAAGTAAATAGGGTGAAAAAAAAATACAAAAAAACAAAAAACTAAACTTCTTTCCTTCACTGGTTGGGCAGCTCTTGTCCATCTGGAGGCACTGAATGGAATACATTTTGGGTGGGGGCATAATATTTCAGACTTTGACAAAATACCTGTTTTTCCACATCTTCTTTGGAGCAGTTTAGTTGGTCCTTCTCCTCCGCCATACTACTTAGCACCGATGTAAGCTCAAAAAGTTTTTGGGAGGCCTCAGATTTTTCTTTCTCTGCTTGTTCTAAAGATAACTCTTTGTCTTTTAACTGTTGTAAAAGCTGATCCACCTCTGAAGTCAATGTGTGCTTAGACTGATCAAGATCATCTCGTTCACAAGTAACTTCTTTCAAAACAACAGCGGTCTCATGCAGTTCTTTCTCTAGCGAAGAGGACTTGTAGGAAGACAGAAGAAAAATCGTAAAAAATATAATAATGTGTAAAAGAATTTACATGTAAAAACATAACTAATACATACCTTCTGTTCTAAAGAGGCTCTCTCTTCTGCCAATTCACTGATCCTCTCTCTTTGGTGCTGAAGTTCCTCTTGAGTACTCCTTAGATCTACTTGAGTTTTAATAGACTAAAAGGGGGAGGAAAAAAAATAAATTATAAAAAAATATTTTTTATAATTTGCAGAAATAAACCAAGTTTTATTTTAGCTAGTGGTATTCGTTTCTACAATATGCTTTTTGGCAGATGTACTAACCATTAAATTAGAACTTGTAGTAAATATGTAGTTACAGAAAAAAGGTCTAGTCGCAAACCGCAAGCTGCACTGAAAAAGTTTATTGTAGCACACATTGTGCGGCTGTGGTTCCTCTTTACTCTGACATGTTTCACCCAGAAATGGGCTTAGCCATAGTGATCTCTATGCCTAAAGCCCATTATTGGAAAGTAGAATAGGTTCAGCTGGATTACTGTAGGCAGACAGCAAAGCCCAACCAAGGAAATTCCCTATGTCACTTGCAACTAGGAGCAGTAGCAGAAGATTTTACCTCATGCTGAACTGGCACAGAGCATGATCGATACCCCCCTTACCTAAATGTACCTTCGCTCAGTCCTTCAGCATGAACCCTTTCCGCACAAAACAATGGAAAAAATAGGCATAATAATGGTGCCCAATGGTCTTAATTCGTTACCTCCCAGTTCTCAGCTTACTCACAAAGTGAGTCATCAGAGACTGGACTACACCAGAGGCCACACCTCTGGACCCAGAAAGCGCTCCATGGCCAACACACACACTCAGATCTGGAAAGGACCAAAATGCAGAACCCAGTGCCCAAAGACACATTCCAGGCTATCCCCCACAATTATCCAGCCCAGCGGGTTCCAGGTACAGCCTCCAAAGCTATTGCTGAGGATATGCCAAACCAGACAGTTGCGTATAGAGGTCAGCTCAAGCACCTTGTAAGTAAATGTTGAAAAAAAAAAAAAAAAGGAAAGGCTGGTAAAAACAAAGTTACGTTTGCCACATCCTGTGAGGAATTTATTTGCATGCATAATTTGGTATCGGCAATCACTGAAATTGAACCCTAATTCCAATGTCCATATCTTTTTTTTTTAACAGGTTAAACAATGGCCCCGAGAGACAGATTCTTGGGGCACACCACTCATACCTTTAGACCATTTAGAGATGAATCATTTATCACTCTCTGTGGACCCATATGTGCAACCAGTTTCCTATCCTTGCACATACAATTTCTTCAGCTGCGGTAGACCCTATTTTATAGATAACATGTTTCTGTGGTACAGTATACAAAGCCTTCGCAAAATCGAAATAAACGATGTCCACCGGTCTACCATCATCCAATTTATTGCACACTTCCTAACAGAACGATAACAGATTGGTCTAACAAGAACGGCCTTTCATAAATGTATGCTGGTTGTTACTTCTGACATTTCTATTCAGACAGACGAATACTTTTACATACTATTGAAGTTAGGCTGACTGGTCTGTAGTTTCCCAATATACACCTTGATCCATTTTTGAGGATTACATTTGCCCCATGCCAAATCAGGTTAAACCTTTCTCAGAGAAAAGATGACCTGCCTTTTAGGACACTAGCAAAAAAACAAACAAAAACAGGGATATGCTTGGGAGTGGGAGAGGTTATACTGACTGGTCACTGACAGCGTGAAATCCTTCTGTAGGTATCAGTATAACCCAATTGTCTCTGAACCCTGTGCCCCTCAACGAACAAGAAAAATATTGGTTTACATTACGAGGCTTGAGCATCTCATAGCAACTGGATTTGGTACTTGTTTAGACTGCCATACAAGAGCCTTTAGTTGTACTTTGAAATATCAGCTTGCTTACCATTTCTATGTTCTCGCTCAGATCTTTTTTTAGCTGGTCTCTTTCAGACTGTAGACTCAGCAGTGCCGCTTGCAAGTCATCTCTCTCCTTGGTAATCACCTCCACGTGTTCCTGAAGACTGAAAAGCTTCTCTTCAGTCCTTACCATTTTGGTATTCATCTCTAGAGCTTCTTTAAGTTGGTTCCTCTCTAATGTTAGACTTTCTTGTGAAGCCTTTAGATCATCACATTCATGGGTGACTATTTCCATTTCATGTTGAAGATGGAGAAGCTTTTGCTCAGTGTCAAGTTTCTCACTTCTAAGAGCCTCCAGTTGGGTCTCTGTGCTCTTAAGATCTTTCATAGTTTGCGCGAGCTCATTTGTTAACGCATGCTGGGCTTGCTCAAGATCTTCATGTGGGCACTCTGTTCTCTGCTGAATTTCTTGTCTTAAATGCAATACCTGAGTAAAGGAAATCATTTTAGTATATAAATTATAAAAACGCTTTCCTATACATCCACCATTGTGACATGTAAATATGGTAAGACACTAAAACAGTTCTTTATAAAAAAAAAAAAAAAAAAAGTTTGCATCACCAAATTCATGGCTCATTGGGTAAACAAAATTGGGTATTAAAAAGGTTATATAACAATGTAGCAATTTGTTTTAAAAAAATACCATTTCATCATTTTCCTTTAGATTGCTTTTAAGTTGGTCCATTTCGGTAATTAATCTTTCTTTTGTGATCTCCAGATCATCCTTGTCCTGAACAGCAGCATTCAGTTTTTGTTGAGAGTCAATAAGTTGTTCTTCTGTTTGATGTTTTTCATTCTGCAGAGACTCCAGATTTGTCTGTGCTTCTATCATTCTATTTGTTAGGCTTTCCACTTCACAGTTTAGGCTGTCTTTGCCTTCCTCAAGTTTGTTTTTAATCTTAAGAAGTTGTTCATATTCAAAGGTCTTTTGCAGCAGCTGTTCTTGCAAAAGAGAATCCTGCAAAATTAAACATTTTGGAGAGGTAAAAAAAAAATATCTATATATTTTGAGATTTGTTCCCATCATTTAGTGCTATACAGGTCTTGACACTAATAGGGTTTCTTGAAGACAAGGTTCAAATAACTTACCAGTTGTTTTGAGACTCACAAAAATAGGATTTTGTTCCAACCGTAAAATCTTTTTCTCAAGAGTTCATTGAGAGACACAGCTCTGAAGAGTTCCGAGATGTAGGGTTATGCTGCTGCCTCTCTCTAGGAGAAATGGACACTAGGCAAACAAATGAAAAGCCTGACACTTCAAGGACATAACCCTTACCCAATGCCGGTTGTTGCAAGCAGTACAAAGAAATTTGAGTGGAGGGAGGTGTGTCCCTCAATGGACTCCAACAAAAAAAATAAAAAAATAAAGTTAAGTACAAAATCCTATTTTCTCTATCTCGCACGTTCAAAAGCAGCCTTAACAAAGGGGCAAACAAAAAATGAACTGTCAAAGTACACTTAACAGTTGCCTGAAAAACTTTTTTTAACCAAAATGTAGCAACAGAAGAGGCAGAAACATCGACTTTATAAAACTTTGCAAAAGTTTGAACAGAAGACCAAGTTGCAGCCCTGCAGTTTGGAGTAGCAGAAGCTTGACTTGAAAATACCCAAGTAGTACTAATTGCCGTAGCAGAATGAGCAGAAAGAGGAACTAATAAGCTTGAATGAGAAGCCGATTAATTCACTTAAAAAATAAAATAAAAGTGGAATCTAGAAACTGAATAACCTTTTCTGAAATAATAAAAAAAAAGTCCATGGCTCAGAGATGAACACTAATAGCCTGCGTGACATCCAAAATGAAGGAGACATTTTCCTAGGACAAAGTGAAAAGCGGAGACTACCTTGGGTAAAAAAAAAAAAAAAATCTAGTCTCACAAAACCTTGTCCCTATGATGAACCAAATAGGGTTCTTTAGAAAACAAAGCAAGACAAGTGGGAAATCCTTCTAGCCAAGGTAATGGCCAGAAGAAATGCAACCTTTTTGGATAACAAGACAAAATGCCTTGTATAGGTTCAAAAGAAAGTTTTGAAGAACAGATATAAGTTGAAGGCCCATAGAGGAAAAGGAGACCTAACAGGAGGAACTACACAAGTAACTCCCTGAATAAAAGTGTGAATTAAGGAATTAAACAAGACGACGTTAAAGGACTGACAAGGCACATGTCTGACCCTTTATAGTACCAGAGCTAAATGTTGATCTACCCAAAGTTGAAGGAAAGACAAAATTTGCAATATAGAAGAGCACGTGTGGCAACACCACACCAAAATAAATCTTCCATGTATGATACAAAATCTAAGACGTAGAAGATCTACAAGCCTTAAGCATAGTCGGAATAAGAGAATCTGAAAGTTCTTTGTCTTTCAACACCAGGGTTTCAACAGCCAGGCCATTAGAGCCTGCAACCTGGCCGGTGGAAGATAGAGCTCTAAATGGCAGATCTGGCCAACCTGGAAGAAGCCAGGGATCGTCTGCCAACAGATGAAACAAATTGGCATACCACACTGAGGCCAAACTCAAGCAATAAGAATGACTGGAATTCTTGTCCAGAACATAAATCTAAAGTTTCGATTCCTCTGGAGACCAACAACCCTGCACAGACAGATGATTCAAGAGACAGCCCCATCTCACAAGGCCGGTGTCCATCGTGACAATCTTCCAAGTTGTGGGAAGAAAAATACTTCCCGATCGTCAACACAGAGGATGCCAACCACCACAACAGAGACATTTTGCCGAAGTCCTCGAATGTTGGCACCATCTAGGACATTGAGTTCCAAAAGGAAGGAGGAGGAGACTGTTTTTAAAGTAAAAGTTCTCCAAGCCGGAACGAAAAAGAAAAAGGCAAATACAGTTTTTACTCACAACTCTATGGCACTGTTTTGGACATATCGGAATCCCCATGTTAATACTAGACTGACCATTAAATAAAAACAGGAACATACGACGAAGCATCAGTACTGAGACTAGGAACGATCTGTTTCAGGACTAGCGCAGGGCGAGTCATAAGTATTGAGACCAGAGACAACCTGCATCTTGAGGAATAGAGAAGCTCAAAGGATTAAACTGATGCGGCAATAATCTCCAAGTCATGTCGGCTAGCTAGTGAGAACTCACAGGATTTAACATTTTCTAGTATGAATCAACTAGCAGTTAGTAGTAGTCCCTTTTAAGAAATAAAACTAAAAGACTACACTAGGAGAAAGTGACATCCATTCTCCTGAGGACACTAAGCAAAACTGGCAGGTCTGAGGTTGGAGGGTTTATGTACTTAGTGACAGGCTTTTTACTTATTTGCCTAGCGTCAATTTCTCCTAGAGGCAGCAGCATAAACCCTACATCTCAGAATTCTTCAGAGCTGTGTCCCTCAATAGACAATAGAGAAAATAAATGCTCTGTATGTAATAAAACCTTTAGTTATTCTGTATTAAATGGCTGGAGGGTATACCTCATGTGGATTGTACAAAGCTATTAGCACTCCCTGTGATGTCAATGCCAAGGACTGGCAAACAGAAATGGTTATTGAGGGGACACTAAACTCAGGTGTTAATTCTTAAAAATGCTAGAAGTAGATATAAGCAAACACCCCTGAGGGTTTACATATCCTTTAAGCCACGCAAATGCATTTTTAGGATTTAACTTCTGAGTTTAGCGTCACGTTAAAGCAATGTAACACGTATAATAACTTACCATTTCTTCATTTTCCTTTAGATTGCTTTTAAGTTGGTCCATTTCTGCAATTAACCTTTCATTTGTGATCTCTAGATCATGTCTATCCTGGGCAGCAGCATTCAGTTTTTGTTGAAGGTCAATAAGTTGTTCTTCTGTTTGATGTTTTTCATTCTGCAGAGACTCGAGACTTATCTGTGCTTCTGTCATGCTATTTGCTAGGTTTTCCAATTCACAATTCTGGCTGTTTTTGTCTTCCTCAAGTTTGTTTTTTATCTGAAGAAGTTGTTCATATTCAAAAGTCTTTTGTAACAGCTGTTCTTGCAAATCATGAGCCTACAACAGTATAAGGCACACAATTAGAGGCCATCCCAAAAAAAAAAAAAAAAGTTATTTTGGTCTTCTTTAGTTACTGTGTATTAGGTGACCAGTGAGCAAACCTCAAATGGATTGTACACACCATCAGCACTGCCTATAAAAGTTAAACACCATGGGCTGTACATTAAAAAAATATCTTTGGTTTTTGTAACCTCCCAGATAGCAAGGATAACTTGCCACAAACTTGTGTCAGGGTTAAATTGTAATTCTTGTTAAATTGCTGCACACATTCCTGGCAAGTTGTAGACTTGCAGCACAAGTTCTAGTTGACACTTTTTGAATTTGTAGCAAATTTGCTTGGCAAGTCTACAGCAAGAGTCCTGCAGGTCTTAGCAAGAGCTCTGCAAGTGTACAGCACTTTTGCAAAGCACGTTAATCTGGAGACTTGCAATGCAGACTTGCTGTAATTGTGCAACAAAATTGTGAAGTTGGCAAGTCTAGCAATAGTTTAGCAAGTCATTTTCAAACTTGCAGCTCAATTGCTTGCTATCTGGGCAGTTACCTTTTCACTGTGGATATGAAAAGAATGGTATACCTGTTCTTCCAAGTCAGTGCTGGTATCTTTGTCCTGTACAGAGACACTGCCAGGAATCTCCATTCTTGCACCGTTCATGAGAGCTCCCTGCTGCTGCAACTCGTGACATCTTTGTAGCTCCTCCTGTGTAGTAGAAGATCTCAGATGAAGAGCAACCAAATATTTTAAAAGATACAAAATTCTACCATTTCACAAATCTCTTGTACATGTGCCCATTTTGAAAGCCAAATCATAATGATATGAACTGCAGAATGCCAAGACAACAAAACCAGTAAATTAATATGGAATTCAGGGGCTAGTCTGTGCAATCCAGGATCTTTTTTCCCTCATAATTATGTGACTTTGGTTTAAGTTACATAATTGGCTCCAGGATTATAATAAAAATAAAAAACCTGGCAGTGTAGTTCTTCTGCCTACGTTTGTTTTTAAGTATCACTTTGTGTTATTATTCACAGCTCAGTTGTCTACCTCCCACAGTGTATGGTTTTTGTTTTTTATCTCATGCTTCTGTGTGATGTAGAAACAGATAAAAACTGACAGCTCACTTCTCTTCATTCACGCTCATGCTCCTAAAGTGGACAACCTCTTGAGTTAATATTACAGTGACATACCGAGATTGATGCAGTTTCTAGGACTTCTTTTAGGCTGGCATTTTCACCCAGTACAATTTCCAGCTTGCCTTGCAGGTCATCTTTGTAACAAGTCACCTTCTCTAGCTCTTCCAGGAGTGAGCCAAGTTTATCTGAAAGCTCCAGTTTCTCTTCTTGTATTTTTTCCAATAAGATTCTACTGTGCTCTAGATTTTTCTCCAGCATTTCTAATGCAGCCATATGTTGATCCGTTTTATTTAAATCCATTAATCTCTCAGCAGCTTGCTTTGCTTCTTGGTCCTTTACTGCCAGTTGTTGGCTTGTATTTTCCAGTTCTTCCTTCAGCTTCTCAATTACACTTGTTAAATCTTCTGTATCTTTGCTTTGTACTACCTCCTACAATAACAAAGTATAGACAAAGAAAATACATCTCCATAAATACAAATATACTACTCTCTACTGCCATTTCTAGCATACATTTAAAATTATACATTCTCATCTCATGCTTACATCTTCTGTGCGTCTTTGCGCAACAGATACCAGCTGAAAGTTCTCTGCTTGAAGGGCATCTATTAACTGTTCATTTTGTTCTTTCTCCTGAGAAATAATGTGGATTTGCTGCTGTAGATGATCAATTTTCTCTTTTAAAAGAGTTCTCTCGGTTTCTACTTCTAGTCTGGCTGATTCATTCATTTCTTCTTCATTTGCAAACAAATCTGAGAGCACTTGTACTTCCTTGTCTTGCGTTTCCTTATCCTTGGGAAACAAAAGAAAAGCATTATAATTTAATATACAGTACATATAGAACAAAGCAAGATTTTTAAGATGGATATTACACAAACCAATATTTTTTTTTTGTTTATTCTCACTAACTTCTCGTGTAGTAGCTGGCTTCTGTGTGAAAGACGATGCTCCTGTCCAGCTGCTGGCATTCACAATAGCACAAGCTGACAGTTACTACTCCACTCTATCACCTAATTAGCTTGCAGCAGGTCTGGGATCAATATTTTTGCTTTATGTTACTTCGAAAACGCTCACACAGAGGAGATCAGAGAAGGCACAGGACTGCACAGCAGAGCTGAAGTTGTTCTGCAGGCACTGCCTGTTACATCCCCTCTTCTCTTAGTTGTCAGCCAGGACTGTCACCTTCATCCAGCATTGTTGGATCAAGGAGGGGGAGGAACGGGAGGGAGCAGGAAAACTATCGGACAATGCTGCTCAGCAATCCTGTAGAGGGGCAGAAGAATGATGTCCTGGTTAAGGCAAAAAGGCCAAATCTACCTTTAGGTAGAAAGGAAGTTCTGGGCCTCAACACCATCCCGTCCTTGTGCAAGACCAAAAAGGGTTCTATAGAGGATAATGCTTGGGCACACACACATCACAGAGGGTATGGCAACAGGAAACACCAACTAATGGGTAATGGTGGAAAGAGGAATATATCTTATGGGGGTTTTTAAAGTGCAGAGAGAACCAAATTCAGATCCCACAACACACTGTCACTGAGGAGTGAACAGCCACACGGAGACATCCTAAACAAAGCCAAAGGTTTCAGGAACAAGGACGTAAGAGCAGAGACCTTCTTCATTGTGAAAAAAACCCAGAAGTCATGCGAGTCGCAGAAGTGCCTGTTGGATAGGTGAACATATTCAGGGACTGTTCCGTGTTAAGGAAAAAGACCCCAGTGGCAGAGAACTCCACAGCATTAGCAGACCCATCATGTCTGCTGTCGGTATCTCTTTCCCTAACACATCCGGCACCCCCCGCCTCCTCAACTATGACACAGGTCATGGAACACCTCCGTGTTTAGGAATCACTAACTTAGGTCCAGACGCTGAGGAAGTCTGTTTGCCAATTGTCCACATCTAGGATATAAATGTTAGACAAGGCTGGAACATAAATGTGTCCAACCTGAGAGGATGGCACCTGTTGTGAGGATCTACCAAAAGATGGAAAGTAAAACTTCCCGGATTGCAGAGCTAAATTCCTGAGCCACAAGTAAAGTAAAACCTGACCCCAGAAGCCAGACAAACCGGTCTGTCCAAACCTGAACCTACTTGTCCCAAAACCTTGGAATGTTATTTTGTAGGGGTCTGGAGTGAAACTGCGCAAATGGTACTATCTCTAAGGCGGCAACCCCAAGACTCATTGAGAAGCAGAATCATGCAACTCCGGGACTGAACACTACAAGACTGGGAGAGGAGAGTTTGCGGTTCTTCCAGGAAAGCACCTAATGCAGAACTAAGTGTCAGAAGGTCACTTCCCAGCTAGCCCCATAACTTCCAGTGGCAGGGTTCAGGTAAAGCACTCCAAAGTGAGGAAAGGCTGATCCAGCTGCCATTGTAGAGACCAGTTCAAACAGCAGTGAATGGAAAAATTTGGAGAGAAAAAAAAAAATGCTGAGCAGAAATTAAGCAAAGATATCAATCTTCCTAGGACACTAGCAAAACACTGAGGTATGCTGGTAGTAGGAGGGTGTTATCCTGGGCTAGTCTGCATTTTTTTTTTGTTTCCCAGTGTCCATTCCTCTTACAAGGGGCAATATAACCACATAGTTATTGACTTCCTGTGTTTCCCAATGGAGAAAAAAAAAAATTCAAAAAAAATACAAAAAAATTGTTTAATGTCCATTGTCTGGACACAGAAGAACTTCAAATCATTATGTATCAGTTTTCTAAACAAAGCTTAGGCAGTGTGGAAGGTGCTGCAATTTTTCTAAATAAACATGTTCATCTAAAAAAAAAAAAAAAAAGATCCAAAAAGATCCAAGCTGCTAAAGTAAAAACATAACTTATTACTTACTTTAGCTTTCTCCAGGTTATTTGTTCGGCCGTAAGAGCCATCCACTTGTGACTTCAGTGCATCTAATAGCCTGGACTTTTCCTTCACCTCATCCAGGGCATTCCGCAGTTCGTCTTGTGTTTCTATGGACTGAGAAACAAAACCCATTTACTACAGGTACTGTAAAAATACCTTTAACGCCAGCATTATAATCTGGGTTTCTTACCATTTCAATGTTGTCATGTAAATCAAGCTTGAGCTGGTCTCTTTCATCTGTCACAGCTTTGAGTGTTTCAAGCAGCTTTTGTTTCTCTATCTGTTCTGGGAGTTGTGCTGTTGCATCGTCATTTGATGGTTTCTCAGACAGGTGTTTTAACTCTTCATTTAGCTAAAGGAGCATGCAGGTCAGTACATATATTCAACCAAACCATATCTAATTTAAAGCATATACACCCCCCAAAGTGATAACATTTTATACCTCACAAACTTGCTTGGTAGTTCTCTGTACTTCATCTCTAAGGTCATTCTTTTCTTTCAGAAGACTGTTCTTTGTGTTCTCCAGCTGATCCCTCTGCTCAGTGACAGATAGGAGATCCTCTTCAAGGGCATAAAGTTTCTGCATAAGTTCATTCTTTGCTCCTTCCATAGTGGCTAGAGCCAGCTCAGCTGATTTGACTCTTTCCTTGAGAACTTCCATTTCAGAATTTAAACTCTGATCCTCTTCTAGTTCCATTTTCTTTTCGGCAATGGTCTCAGAATCTGCTTTACTAGCCTGGATTTGTTGTGGCACAAATGTGAAAAACAAAAAAAACAGCAAGCAGAGAAAGTAGGTCATTTCTGGAGTGTCTCACATCACGTTTATTGAAAAGAAGATGAAAACATTAAGATAGGAAAAACCATGTTGACTTAGCAGTCATCATATAGGTACAGTAAGCTAATGTTTTTGTACCTATCAAGGGTATCAGAGATGATACTTGTGTTTGATGCTACTGTATCTTTACACAAAATCACCTATCAAAGCATTTTGAAAGTGGAGCCTAGGATGACTATTGTAGAAATTACTGATCTCTTTTCCGTCACTACTGTGATCTGTTGGCACAGAGCACTTCTGCCTCAAAACGTCTCTGGATGCGTCAGCTTTTCAATGACTGCATGGGTAATCTTCTATAGGAGTGCTTTCCAACCTGTCCACAAGTCCCAACAGTAGTTCATATTTTGTAGATAACCACTCAGGTCACAGTCACACTGCTGAGACAGTTATTCTATTACTGTGCATGTGAAAGGGTTACCTCATTCATTTATGTTAAGTGATTGCTATAAGATATAAATCCATTGCTAATATGTACATGGATGATAGCAAAACTAGATTACATTAGTTAAAACTGTGTATTGGAAAGGTAAAAGGTCAGTATGATTGGTAAACTGAATATTCATTAAATTAACAGTCATCACATTTTGTTAAATGTAACTAGTCTTGACCTCTGGGGTGTTCTTGTGGCTTTCTGCTTGTAGGGAAATGCGTTCAGCATAATCTGAAATCTGTTTTCTCAGATCAGCCACAAGTTGTTTCTGGGATTTAAGCTCCTCCTGGGTTGTCCTCAGTTCATCCTGTGTTTCAATTGACTAAACACAATGTGTAGAAACAAGAAGTTCTGTTAATGTACAAAAAAGATGAATACTGACATTTCAAACAATGCAAAACTGCAAACGTGAAAGAAGCATATGGCTCCTACTGACGAACTATAGTTTATGAAATATTAATAGAAACCCAGATAAAAACCTGACTCTTATAAATGCTGGCCATTAGAAATCTGGAGGAAAAAAAACAAAAAAAAAACACACCACGATGCACACCCTTTAAATACTTAGAGACCAACTATAAAAAAAACGACCAAGGGAAACTGAATTGGGTGTGTCCTAATATAAATCCTGGTAAAGAAAGCACGGTGAACCTCAAATTGTATCCCCATAAACACAACACCTTCCTGCACAAAGAAAGCTCAACCTCTTGCTTCCTTTATGCTTTCCTTCTTGCATGGCAGAACTCCATATTAATTCCAATATTACTTCAACTTCAGACAAATATCCTAAGTGTTGACCTGCTCATTCATCTTAGATAATACACTTAAAAACAACAACTTTGTAATGCATATATTAGGCAAATAAAACTCTCTCATATTGATCAATTTCTTTGGAATGAAAGCAGAAGAGATGTACTTAAAAAAAAATAAGGGGGGTTATACTCGCCCAAGCCTTGGAGCTGGCTGCCGCTCACAGCGCTCCCGCCAGCCTCTCTCCGCCTATACTCAAGCGATGTCATATCCCTTGGTGTTCTCAGTCAGGTATTGGATGCGAGGACACCGAGGGACATACGGTTTCTGAAGCATAGTAGAAAGGCTGGAGGGAGTGCTGCGACAGCCAGCTGGTTCCAAGGTTCGGGTGAGTATAACTTTAGTCACTAGACAAAAAACGAGCAGTTAACACTTGCATTGTGGTGGTACCCCCACTGCAAGGGTTAATGAGAACCGCTGCCCAGAATTATTCTTTGAACCATGAAAAACGGCTTTCAATGCTATAGACATTTTATTCTACTTTCCTGCACCCTGCAGTATAATGGAAGGTCTTATTGCTTTTAACACATGTAATCTACCGAACACTGAAAGATTTTCAGTACAAACAAATTGTTACTCTTGCCTATTTTTCACAGCTCAGCCACCAACTCCCACAGTGCATGTTTCTTTGTATACCATGCTTCTGTGTAAATTAGAAACGGAGTTACAGCTCACTCTTCATTCCCAACCACACTCTGTAAAGTAAACGACCTCTTGATTGACCGCTCTCACTATCTCACCGTTTCTGCACTTTCCCAACACAAAGCAAGGCTCCACTACCAGTTCTAGTGCCCGTTGCCAATTCCTGTGGGAGTGTGTCCCCTCCCCTCCCTCATTCCTGTGACCTCACTTGTGTCTGGAAAGCACATGGACAGCGAGATATGAGCCGTCAATCAAGAGGTCATCTCCTTTGCAGAACGTGGTTGTGAATGAAGAGGAATGAGCTGTCAAAATCTGTTTCTCAGTCTCTCCTCAACACAGAAGCATGGCATAAAGAGCAATATACAAAGTGTGTGTTAGGTGACTTAGCTGTGAAAGACTACTTCCTTAAAGACCCTAGAAAAACTGCCATTCATAAAAGGGCAAATCCATTTATATGAAAAAGGTATTCTGAGAAAGTACAATTAATATCACCTACTTCTGGGATTTCATTATAAATTTAAAAGGAAACCTGTGCAAAAAAAAAGTAGCCCAACATTGCTGACCATCTGTAATTGCTAGTTGTCTGGCTCAATATCATATGGTACAATGACCCAGAGCAAACATTAATTTTAGCAAAGGCGGGGTGAAGTCAGAACTTGCACTCTTGTTCTGGGTCATTGACTCAAAGTACTGAAACCATTGGATTAGCAGGACAGCTACACAACTTGCAGTTTTGGAAAGATAGGGGCAAAGGCAGGTTCCTTATGCCAACGAACAAAGAAAAAAAAATGGCATGTGCACGGCACTCAACTTGCCCCACCACTTAAAGTAGAAGTACTCGGTCCGGTTTAGTCATAACTGTACAAACCTCACCACCACTCGTATACAATATTGTTGGAGATAAATTGCTAAACTGGTTTTACTTACCATTTCAATGTTGTCATTCAGATCTTGTTTTAGAATAGCCTTCTCATCTGCAAGCTCTTCCACCTTAGATTGAAGCTCATCTCTTTGTTGAGCAAGCAGTGTCATTTCCTCCTGGAGCTCTTGAAGTTTAAGTTTAGCTTCAGAGGTCTCAGTTTGCATGATACTCAGCGATGGCTGCAAGTTACTCAACTGCTCTTGAAGTTGTTCCATTTCAGACATTAGCTGAAGGTGCTTTTGTTCTAAATCCTGCTTTTCTTTCAACAGTTCAGATTGCATCTCTTCTTGTTGCTGAAGAGTTTCAACAAGAGATGACAGCTAAAAATAAATACATGCAACTTAGAGCAGGCATCAAGAAAAACTGCTTCAATAAAACAGGGATGTGTCACTGATCGAGAGAAAGTAAACTAAGGAAGCTGTGTTTGCCAAAATATTGTCTAGCAGACAGCCATTAGGATCTTTTTTTGGCGCATCTAAAGTGTTACACCTATTAAAATGTGTTGTTTAATTAAACAATCTAACATTTCTTATGCCCGTCTTATCCCAGGTCAGGAAATCTGCACTGGCCATTACACAGGGTCACCAGTCAGCTCGCACTGTCTGAACTATTGAGTGCTAAAAGGAAGACAATGTAAGGCCTAAACCTAATATGGTGTTTTTGAAAGGACAAATAATAACATTAGGTATATTAGCATTTCTATAAATCAGTGAAAGAATGCAAGTCACTGTCTCTTAGTGCAGAGGACTTAATTCTCAATGTATGTAGAAGAGAATTGTTTTCTTGCTCAAACTTTCTCAAGTAATATAGAGACAGTAGTTCTGACAAGTTCTGTCAAGATATCAGAATATCTCCAAAAAGGTCATCATGGAATACTGGCATTTTAGGAAAAATCCAAAATGATTTAGTCCAACATTGCCCTCTTCAGGTAATTACGGGGGGAATTTGGAGTAAACTGAGAAGTGAATGTCATAATTAAGATAATCTTTCTCCTCCTACATTTTGGGTGATAAAAGTTAGGAGAAAGTTGGAGGGGAACTGAGACAGGGAGAACTGATACATGAGGATGGACAGACACAAAGGAGGGATCTGAAGCTCATTGACGAGCTGCCAGGTGAAACTGAACATCTCCTGTCCCTATACAGACACCAATCTGACAACAACATTTATATTGTTTGTTAAAGTATATATTTCCATTTATCTGTAAGCAATTTACTAGCCATATACAGTATATCTCATTTAGTCTAAGCATTCGGTTACTGCTAGCATCAGGATTGAATTGGAGTAAATTTTATCTGCAGTAAATATAGTCTCCCTCTAACTTTTTGGAGAAATATTTTTGGAGTCTCCTCGAAGCAGATTTCAGTTTCCAGTCAATAGTCTAGCTGTGATACATACATAAAAATAAAATAACTTTGTCTTTACCTCAGATAAATTCTTGGCCGATTAGCTAGTACTTTCATAGTATTCTAAATTAGTTCATGCACAGTAAGGACTTTGGGCTTTGAATACGTTTTGCTGGGGGGAGGTCATGTGTTGAATCTGCACATTATTTTGTAACAGCCTGCTGAGAGGTTACTAGCTGCATTCCAGGAGATACATAGTTTTGTTTTATGAATATTTGAAATAATATCCTGTGGTTTTATTTTCTTTGCTGATCAATATTCTTGCATATTTTGATCCTTATTATTTTATTGTCACTAGTTACATTTTGATTATTTTACACTGATTCTAGATAAAAGAACCATGGGGTAAACTTTTTATCCCATAGTTCTCTTAATGTCCTCCCGTGACCCAAAGCTCAGTATATAGTGAGCTGCAGCCGGGACAGATCCTGACAACACTGACGAGATCCACCCAGCTAGTTGATTGACAGCAGCCTCTGCCTATATAGAGGCAGAGCCAGCTGCACCCGCCCCCTCCCCGTCTGTTCCTCCAGTCAGCGCTAGAGGATCGGAGAGGGAGAATTCCTGCGGGGAGCGGTGACAGTCACCGCTGTCTGCAGGGAGATGATCGGAAAGTGAGTGAGCGGCGGTAGGTGTTCGAATATTTAACAACAGATCGAACTATGAGGATGAGTGAAAAATCACTGGCATCATAGTTCTCCATTATTATACATATTTTTTATTATATTATTTTTTTTTAGTCTTCAAATTAGCACAAAAAACGAACTCTAGTTATCAGTTAATTCGTGAAAATGAGTAGGGAATCTCCTTAATTCCTGATCCCTGCCTGTTTTCATAAGTTAAATACTGTTTTTTCTTTTTATCAGAGTAAACGTTCTGACAACACTGTTCGCTTTGATTTGTTTGATTTTATATTATGTATAGTGACAGGGCTTTTTGCTGAAGGTGTAAGGTTTGATGGATAAAGCAAGCACCTGTTTTGCCCTTATCAAGAATCTGCCTGTCTCTTGGCTGCGGCATCAAACTCAAGCTTATCCAGATTGATGCCTCTAAATCTGCTGTGACCGATCCCTGCTAGTGGTAACACTCAAGAAGGGCGCAAAGTCTAAAAGAGCCAAAATTATGGTAGGGAGAAAACCAAAATAGCACTTTTGGAAGGATTAAACACTTATCTGGGGAGAACCTACAAAGTCAACTAAATACTACAAGCTCCGTCAATTGCGTTCTCAGTGAAGATTTGTGTTCCTTTTGAGGCGAAAAACACGTACATTGCTCACTTGTTTCTGGAGGTCGTCTCTCTCAGACTCCGTGGACTTGAGCATTTCTTCCATGCTGCTAGTTTCAGAAGCACGTTCCTTGGAAGAAAAAAAATAAAGACTGAAGTAAAACTGTCTCTAACCGTCTTTAGAAGCAGGCAAAGGCTAACTAATCAAGTTACCTGCTGAGCTTGAACCATCTCTTCCTTTTCTTGTTGTGCTCTGAACAGCTATGTTTGAAATAAATTTAAAAAAAAAGTACAGGTCAGAAATGATCAAGGTTGATATATATATATATATATATATATCTCTAAAAAAAATTCAACTTACTTCGCTCTCTAATAGTTCCAAAGATGTTTTCAGGTCATTTATTTCTGTCACTAGACATTCAGCCTCAAGGGACTTTTTCTTAATGTCTTCATCTGTGAGTGAGCATCTTGTCTGAAGGTCTTCATACAGTATTTGGAGCTCAGAGTGTTGCTGCTCAGCTTGCTGAAACTTTGACTGTGTGTTTGTCACCTCCTCAGTCAGTCTTTCAATCGTTTCCCTTTGCTCTTGCATCTTGCTGTTCTGATCGCTTATTAGAGAGTCAGATTGTTCTTTTTCATTCTGTAACAGGTGGAGTTCCTCTGAAGTTTTCTGTATCTAATAAACAATGATCAAAACCGATCAAACATCTGCAACTGCTCAAAGTATGTAAAGCTTTTGAACTACTTTAGGTAAATAATTAAAAGCAGAGGGAAAGCACACAGCAACTTTTTAAAATTTTGTATTTCCAAAGAAAATAATTTGATCAACAGCAAACAATGAGAACTACAGTACGCAAGGCCAGCAAAGCTCATTCTCTAGCTATTCCTTGCTCACAAAATACATATGGCCTCCCATATGTGACCGGTCTGTCTCAATATACTACAGGAGGTATATATATAGCATTTCTTCATACACAAGACCAAAAACTGTTCATTTTACAATAATTAGGGGAAAGATAAAAAGTTGGAGCATGAGACAGATTCATGTACGAGTGGGAATGATTTATTGGAATCCCTTACAACTATGATAGAACTGTTGTACAGCACATCTACATATCTACATAGAAGACTTTCACTAGTGGAATAGATACCGTATTTTTCGCTCCATAAGACGCACTTTTTCCCCCCAAAAGGAGGGGGAAAATGTGCCTGCGTCTTATGGAGCGAATACCTATCGCCTGACACATGCAGTTTCGGGCGCCAGGCGAGTAGCTTTTTTTTTTGTACATTCAGCCTTGCTCCTGACAAGCAGAGCTGAATGTACAGTGGGAGCCGCTGCTCGTTTAATACAAGTGATCCAATTAGATCACTTGTATTAAAATCGAGCGGCGGCGAAACTGCCCGCCCCCCGCCGTGGTTTTCGGGGTCCCCCATAAGAGCTCACCATAGAGCCCCTTGAGCAGTCTAAGAACGTCGTTCTTCGTCTGCTCTGTGTGATTACTGAGACCGTGGCGCTGTAGTCACAGAGCCACCTGTCTCAGCGGTAACTAACTGCATCTTCTATGACAGAATTTCTGTCACAGAATCCCTGCGCCCTATCGTCCGGAGCGTCTTCTAGACCGCAAAATACGGTATTTGGAAAAACTATGCAAAGACACATACTAATATAATCAATCATATACACCTGGATATTAAACAATTTTTGTGAAATATTTCATACATAATTCAGTTAAATAATTTAACACCACATCACTGTACAACCTCAGAAGAACAAGTCCACAAAACACCAAGATGGAGGAAGACTTACTACACTCCAGTTCTTTAATCCAATATGGCAATAAAACCTATTACAACATTCACAGCAATGCCCCCAGGCAATAACATTTCTGCTACTATGAACTACTTAAACATTTTCCAGTATTTATAATGAAAGGGCCCCACAGTCCTCATGAATTTGATGCATAGCTTCTGACAGCATGTACACTACCAGTAATGTGTCGGAAAGGCCCAATGAATTGCCCCAAATGTATATAAAAGTAATATAAAGCAAAAAGTTATTGTAAGCATTAAAATAATATTATATATATATATATATATAGTGTTTTACCTGGTTCTTAAGTTGTTCAATTTCACTTGGCAAAGATTTCAATTCTGACAAATATGCAACTTGCTTTTCTAGAGAATCTCTCTCTTCAAGAGCATTGGTAAGTTGCTTTGAGCAATCTGCAATCTTCTTTTCCAATTCCACCCGAGAAAGCAGATCTGCAAAGCATGTTATTTCAACATTAGAATTACTCTTTGTCATAATGGTCTTTAAGATTATTACATGCTGATGTGAAGTGGGCCTACACAAATATTTTATCCTTAAAAGCGGACCTTAACCCCCTTTTACAAAAAAAAGGCTCACCACCCCAGGATGCAGCTCTGCATGTTAATTTAAAATCATCTTACATTCAAACAAACTTGTTTTTCATTTACTTATAAAAAGAGTTCATCTACTTCCTTGTCCAGTTCTGGCACAAATGATTATGTGCCCAAGCGTTGAATTCAAGGAAGGTTACATCAGCAGAGCATTGCTGGGAAATCGCAGATCTCGGGGAAAAGCATTTTCCTCCCCCGAGATGTGCATGGTCACATGTCCTAGTCACACGTGCCAGAGTTTCAGGAAGTAAAAGGAGTTCTAGTAATCTGCCATTAGTAAACATGGCCACTGTCAGAAGACTGGGAAAGAAAAGAGAAATAAGGTATGCAAAGAATATAAAGCCAGCAATTATCTAGAAGTATGCGTTTGTAGATTAATAAATATTTCTAAAGGTCTGTTAGTTATTTTAAACGAAATGGGTAAAGGTCCGCTTTAATTCTTTCCAATAAACAGAGCAATGGCAAATTCATTAGCAGCGGGTTGTCACAATTGTATTTTCAGAAATCTAGGCTTAGTTATGTTGTCCAGTTAAATGTAAATTGAGCTTTTCCAAGTCATTAACATCTTATTTTTTAAATGGAACACTTTACAAACATTTAATATAGGGTGGAGCCAAGACAACGATGTTACAGAACATTTTTTTTTGTTTGTACAATCTTTCAAAACGAAACACTGTACAGCCCTTTTTGCAGAGCAGACAGGAAGGGAGAGGGAAGGAGTCACTTACTTATCCAATTGTGAGTTTAGATTTCTCTGCTCCTGTGTAATATATATAATTATCAACCTTGATCATTTCTGACCTGTACTTTTTTAAAATTTATTTCAAACATAGCTGTTCAGAGCACAACAAGAAAAGGAAGAGATGATTCAAGCTCAGCAGGTAACTTGGTTAGCCTTTGCCTGCTTCTAAAGACGTTCGAGACAGTTTTACTTCAGTCTTTATTTATTTTTTTCCAAGGAACGTGCTTCTGAAACTAGCAGCATGGAAGAAATGCTCAAGTCCACGGAGTCTTTGTAGTTAAGGAACGCCAATGCCGTCCCCTCAAGTGATAGTTCAGTGGTTATGTTGAGGTGGGATAGAGATGAGTCTGAGGCCTTGTTCACACCAAATGCAGAGCAGATCTGCTCAGGTTTCTGCACACGCAGTGCAGTGGGTTGTGCCGCGTTTTTGATGCGTTCCGGGCCGTTTTTGGTAAAAACAAAAAAAAATTATATATATTTTTTAAAGTTTATAATAGGCTTTGTGTGTTCCAGGGCGTTTGCATGCGTTCCAGAGCAGGTAAAATAGGGCCTGCTGCTATTTTTTTTTACCTGCTCTGGAACTGCACGCTGCGATGTGAACTAAAGCAAAAAATACCATTGGAATACATTGGACGCAGTTTTGATCCGGTCTGCAACTGCTCTGCACTTTGTGTAAACAAGGCCTTAAAGTATTAAGCAACAGGAGATTATATCCTGGTGCTTCAATTGTTCAATTTTACTTGGCAAAGATTTAAATTCTGTATACATAGACGCATACATACATACTCTTAAATGCAAAACTAACAAACCTTTGGGGACTCTTCCTGCCATAAGGCCGTTGAGTTGATTAATCTCATTAAATGCACATTGCAGTTCTTTCTGCAAGTCAGCTTGCATCCTTTTATAATTGGACTTCTCAGTTTCTAACTGTTTTTCAACAGCACAGGCATCTTTTTCTCTCTGTTGGCAGCGAAGTGAGAATTCATTCTGTACAAAAGAAATATACACCCACAAAAGACATTAAACATCATGGGACTGTAGTTTTGTTTGAAGACTGAAGCCAAAACTTATTTTTCTTTTACTGCCTGTAACCCCATTGGGGAGATTCACCCTCTATATTTGTCCTGGTGACTATTATCACTGAAAATGTTGGATTGTTATCAGAACAGGAATAGATGGACCAGAGATTTCCTACTCTGGAGGGATTTCCTTTCACTTTCTGT